TCCTTCGCCAGCGAGGGCGAACGAAACGGCGGGGGAGGGGGAGGGGGGGCCGGGCTCTTCGCGCGGCTTTTCCCGCCCGTGGTGGAGCACGTGCAGTTGCTTTATTCGGCGTCACCCTGGCGGGGCTCCGGGGTCGTCCGCGAAGCCGTCGCGCAGTTCCTGCAGCAGATGATTCACCTGCTTCCCGGCGAGCACCTTCTTGGGTTTTGCGCGAACTACGTCGGGTGTAGTTTGGACGCAATGGAGACGGTGCAGGAGCTGAGCAAGTTGTTGCGGCTTTTAGATCAGTTGGTGAATCGAATGGGCGCCCGGGCGACCCCCGCGCTCGCGCGGATGATGCCGGTGGTGTGGAATAAAGTCCTCTCGGCCGGGGAGCTCACCGCGGCGTCGCCGGTTGTAAATATGGGGGTCGTCAGCGAGAGCGCACGGGAGACGATCGACGTCTACCGCAGCTTTTTTCACCTCCTTTTTAGCATCGCCACGTGGGGGTGCGCGCCCGCGTTGCTGCTGCTGCCACTTCCGTATTTAGATTCGATGCTCGCTCAGCTGGCGTACGCGATTACGCTCCCGGCGGAGGTGGAGCTACCGAAGTTTGCCTTGCAGGCGCTCACCCGGCTAAGCGAGGAGCTCCTCGCGCGAAAGGACGTCGAGGGGCTCCCCTTGGATCCTTGCGAGTCCGCCACCTTTGCGGAGAATCTCTTGTATTTTAGAGCATGCCTGTTGGAGCGCGTTTTACCCGCCACCCTGCAGGCGCTTTTGCGCCCCGGGTTTAACCTCCACGACGCGAAGAATTTTATCCTCATCGGCGAGGCCGGGCAGTTCTTTAAGGCCCTCTGTGGGGTGCGGGAGCAGGGCGAAGGGGGCTCCAATGACGCCTCCAGCCCCACGCAGTTCGACGGTGAAGCCAACCCGCTCGCCGACGCCGCCCTGCAAGCGATTTATAGCGGTCTAAAAATGCCCTGTGAGGCAGGCAACACGCCGAATGGGTGTTCGAACCACGGACCCGAGGCCGTGGATCCGATCATGGCGTTTTGCGTTACCTTGCGCGCGAAACCGCGGTTTAATTTGGCGCTTAAAAATGAACTCCGCTGTTTATTAGCGGCGGCGCAGCAAAAGGCCTGCTAGCGCGCAATCAATCCCATCGCGTGCCGGGTGGGATCGTTGTCGGGGAAGGGAAGGGAGCTCATGAAAATCGTCGACGCTCCTCATCCTGTGCGGCGGATGGAGCATAAACCAACCACTCTCCGTTCGGTAGGAACCTCCCCTGCCACCTCACGCTTTGATGAGATCCCCCATTCCTCGCATTGGGTTCCTTTCTAGTGATAATATGAAGTTAAATGTGGGTCCGGTGCAGATTCCAGATTCCTTCTTTCAAATTCCATTTTTCCTTTTGTCCCTTTCCCATTAGCCACTTTCACAGACGTCGAGGCGTAGTGAAAGTCTAGTTTATTTCTAAAATAATAAACACGATGTGGTGAGTCTATTTTAGATTGGATGGTTGTGATGTTTTTTCTTTTTTCCCATGAGATGAGACCACCGATTGGTTTACGAATAGGTAGCCAATTCCCTTTTTGTGTAGTTTAAAGAACAAGCCAAAAAAAAAGCTAAAATATTCACAACCTGTGGTCCCATCTAGGACATTCTTTATCGATTCCCTTTTTGTGCTGAGATTAAAACCCCCTTAGGGATTTTCATCACCCCTTCTTTCCGTTGTATCTTCTTTTTCTTCTTGCCTGGCTTGGTGACCCGACACGTGGAACGCGTTTCTCCCCCCGTTCCTATCTCTCACAGGGATATTCACAGCAACAACAAGAGCAACAACCACACCAACCGAAGACCCGGTATTCCTTGCGCGTGCGGCGTGTTTCCCCCCCCCCCCCCCCTCCCACACATATATCTCTATCTCTATCTATCTATCTATCGATATAGATATTTAGATCTCGCTATCGATCCATGCCGTCGAGTGGGATGCGTGCGGTGGTGGAGGAGCGCCAGCTGTTAACCGACCTTGGCAAGCTCTTCCACGTGGTCCGGGCGCATCAC